GGACGAGAAGCAGGGCGGCGCGGCGGGCGTCCCGACCGCCCCGTTGGCCGACGGCAACCGCGGCGGCGGACCCTCGGGGCCGTTGCACTTGGGGGCCGAGCCTTTGCCGTCCGGCTCTGGCGACGCCTTCCTCTTCACGCTGCGCGGGTGCTTCCCCCTGTCTGGAAGATGCCCAAGAGCAGTGGACCAAAGTCACAACATCCGCTTGAATATTTTCACAAAGACAACGCGGCGGCGGCGGCGGCGTTGGAAAGGCAAACGTCTCCATTTCCTTTCCTCGCCCAAAAACGGGACTCCCGCGGAGGGGCGGGGGCGGAGAGGCGACCTCATGCCCCCAAAGCTTTCGCCCTTTTGTGACTTTCATGTTGACGGCGTGCGCCGCTGGCTTTGACCTTTGTTCAACGTTTCCTTTTGTTGCACGCCGACGACGGACCCGAGCGTGGCCCAATGTTGACGCGCCTCTGCAGCCCGGTGGTGGCAATTAAGTGCCGCGAGAAATCTTTTTCGCGGGTGCTCGTCACCGGACCGCCCCCCCCCATCTCACCCCGTAACGCTTTCCGTGACTACTCGGTCGAAAAAGGGGAGCGGCTAAGCTACGCGTTAGCGGCGCTCCGCTCCAGGCTGCCTCCGACAAACCGGGGGCGGTTTGGGGCCAAATGCGAGCTCGCGCCAGGCCAGGCGGTTTTATGGGCGCGAGCTACGAGCCGCCGCTTGCTTAGCCAGACCTTCGGCCTCCCGGTCCCTCGGCGGCGGGCAAATAAGCCACAACGCAACTTCAAAAGCGTCGGACGAGGAGCGCAAAGGCATCGAGTTGCATCAGCCACGACGAGGCGCTTTCAAGGGCCAAAGTCTTTTTATTCCACGCATCCGATGGCGCACATTTGGGTTTTGGCTTGGTCGGGCTCAAAGAGCGTCTGCCAATTTAGGCCACGGTTGCCATTTTGCATTCAGTTTCTTCCAGGAGGTGATTGGAGACACCCGGCCGGGCGAGCGGGCGGGCGGGCGGACTCCGCACATGATCCATATTGCCTTGTGCAGCAGGGGGAGCATTAAAGCGCAATCTGAAGCACGAAAAGAACACCACAGTGCCGGCGAACACAAACACCATCAACAGTCATCAAGAAGGCGGTCGTGACGTCAGCGTACCTGTCTTGGCGGCGGCGGCCACGTGACCCTTGGTGAAGCCGGCGTCGGGCGCGGGCACGGTCGCGAGTTCGCGCACGCTCCTGCCCTTGTCCAGGAGGCGCAGGTGGCCGACGTGGGCCGGCGGCACCGGACCCCCGCCGCCGCCGCCGCCCCCTACGCCCCCCCGCGGGTTGGGGCCATTCTGGCGGTTCAGCTCGGGCGGCTCGTCGGCTTTGATGAAACCGCAGCCCGAGAGCCTCGCAGCCGCCGCCGCCGTCGTCGCCGTCGTCGTCTGGTACTCGGGGCCCAGGCGAGAGGGCGCCCTGTCGGTCAGCGGGTAGCGGAAGGTGGCGGCCCCCCCGCCGGCCGGATGCTGCGGCTCTTTGGCGGTGAGCGGCGGCGGCGGCTTCCCCCCCGCTCGGCCCTGGTGGAGGCCGTGGGCCCGCTTGAGTTGGCGGGCGGCGTCGATGACCGACTCCACGCGGTCGGCTCCCTCGTAGTTGACGCAGCCTCGGCACACGGCCTCGCTGAAGTCCCAGATGACGGCCCACGGCATGCGGGGCAGGTCGCAAAGGAAGCACGATTGGCGCCGGGCGGCCGCTGTCATGATAAGATGGCTGGCTGGGTGGCTGGCTGGCCGGCTGGAAGCGGCGACGGTGACGACGACGTCGCGGGAAAACAAAACAGACGTGGAGGCGGCTGGCGGTTCGTCGTAGTAAACGCACGCAAGATGTCGGCGCTATGGCGTCAGAAAGCGGCCGCCCGGCATCACGTAGGCGCGGCGGACGCGCTCCTCCCAGCTCCGGCGCGAGAGGGACGGTGACGTCATAGCCACGCGCGCCTTTCTTCCCGCCCGGCCCCAGACAGCGACCGCTCCAAGATCGTTTGTTTGGCGTGCGATGTCGCACTCGTCCCTTTCATGCGGCGCGCGCACGTCACCGCGTCCTGACATGGACAAAGTAGTTGCAATGAGTTTTCCAGCCAGTTCAGTCGGGAGACCCGCAGTAGCATTGTTCGGTTTTAGTTCCATTTGTTTCCTTATCCAACAACTACAGAAGAAAAAAAAAAAAATGACGTGGTCAAATACACTTTTGGTCGCGATTAATTTGAGTTCAAAGCCTCTGGCGCAGTCTTTTCTATCTTCTGAAACGATGTCACTCGCTACGTCACCAAGCTGCTCAACTACAATACTGTCAAAAAAAAACAAATCTCTTTTGTTTGTTGTTGCCGAGTCAAAGTGGACGTCTTATGTGCAAACGTATCCCACGTGGCTTCAGAAGTTTCGGGGTGCTGAAACATTTTGGCGCCAGAGCACATCCGATCGGGGAAAAGGGGGCGGGGCCATGAGCTCAGTCACGGACACGCAAGAATAATGATGCGCATCCCGCGATCGTCACCCTTTGACCTGAAACATTTGCATGCCAAGTGTGCTTCCCTCGTTGCAATTCAACCTGGACGCTGGTACCGTCTGACTCCCTGTTCGGTTTCCGAGCTCGGAAAAAAAACAACAACAAAAAACCGGAACTACGTCATCGTGTATTCTCTTGCCATCTAGCGGAAGAGCGACGACCTGTTCTGTCCGCGACGACGTATCCTTCCGTTTTCTGAGCGGGCTCACTCAAGACTCGTCATTTCCTGGCAGCGGCGCCCGCAGCGTTTGAGGTCTTGAGTGGGCCCCACCCCGCCGCGGGGAGGCGTGGCTTGTTGTCGTCATTACGGCTCATGACATCACAGTCTGCCGAGTCGAGGAAGTAGGACTTGACTGTCGCCACAAGTCCTTTGATTGGTTGACATCTTGGCTGCTGCTGGACACGCGAGCGACTCTTAACACACGACACCTGTCAATCAAATTTAATGGTATACATGCGTGTAGAAGTCAATTTTGTAGTCATTAACATGACTTAATGCTATATACTCATCGATTCAACATAAATGTACTCACTGTATATGTTGCTCTAGTGACTCGCTGTTGTTTTGCTGACCTCTCGTGGACCGTTTGCGAAGTTTTTTTTCAATGAATACGTTTGAAAAAAAAAAATCCGCGATGCACCAAGGCCGCGATAAACGAACCGCGAAATAGCGAGAGATCACCGTACAGCACCACGAGGTCAACAAGCTAAAAGCGCAGCAACAATCGTTCACGCTGTACTTGACAGACGCTGACAACACCTTCAAAATAAAATCGTTGGCAAAAACAAGACGTGGACGTCCAACACCTTTTATTCTGAAATTGAATTGATTTTTATTTCCTTTTCTTCAATGACTTTAATTTGTGGAGACTAAAAAGTCAAAAGTGGACAAACGCGTGCACGCGCGCACGCCCGCCATTTCCAGTGATTCCATCTTACGGTATTTTTCTTTCAGAGGAACTTTTTTTTTTTTGCATTTTTATTTATTTTACATCCATTTCATCTTGACTGCGCAAATTTCCTTCTCTCACACACACGCACAAATTGGTCCCTTCATTGACACAGTGAGCAAGCAACCTCAGCATCACGGGCCAAGCGACCCTCTGGAGACATTCAGAGCGATGTCAGCAGCGGGCAGAGCGGCCAAAAGTCCATCAATAAATCCATCGATTGATCAGAGAGATTGATTGGTTGGATATTGATAATCACCGTTTCTTCCACCACTCCCCCCACCTCCGCCGCGATAAAGGTTTTCAAACAAAAAGCGGAAAAATAGAAAGACGGGGTTGACAGAAAACAAGAAAAAGGGGGTGACAGTGGCGGGGGGGGGGGGGGGGGGGCAAAACAAAAAAAGTCACCCGTGGCGTGTTGCGCTTTGCGAGCATGCTTAAAACACCCGACTTCCATTTTCCTCACAAAAATTCAATTCGATTTATTTATTTTTTTGTCCCACAAAAAAAAAGCCCATTTCTGATTTTAAATGCTTTTTTTTTTTAAATGCTAATTTCAACTGCCGCCCCCCCCCATTTAAAAACGTGAAAGTCCAATTTTCCACAACAATGTTCCCATTTTATTCGATTAAAAAAAAAAAAAATCCATTTTCAAAAGGATGTGAATTCTACTTCATTGACTTTTATGACACACAAAAAAAAAGTGAAAATCATTTTGAGTCGATTTTTTTTTTTTTTTTTTAGGGGGGGGGGGGGTCATTTCATATTTTAACGTTGGAAAAACGGTTCCGAGCGGTCGAGGCTTACCGAGTGGAGGTGCTGGTCTTGTCCATGGTGGACATGAGGCGGGCGAAGGCATCCACCACGCGGCCGCCGGCGGCGCCGCCGCCGCCGCCGCCCGGCTCCATCTTGGCCGTCGTCAGCTCCACCAACTCGGGGTCCACGCCTGCCGGAGGGGCGGGGGGGGAGAAAAAATAGTTCGCGGGGGCTAGGCCGTGATGCGACGCGGCGGCGGCTCGAGTGGGAGAGCGAGCGGAGGAAAAAAAGCGAGAGAGGGGGCGGAGCCGAGAGAGCGGCTGACCTGGGATGGCGGGCGAGCAGGACGAGCCCGAGTCGTCCACGGGACCGAAGAAGTCCAGGTTTAGTAGGAAGGAGCCGCCGCTGGCTGCGGGCGGCCGAGCGCGAGCGAGCGAAAGCGGGAGGAGGAGGAGGAGGAGGAAATGAAAAAAAAAAAAAAAAAAACGATGGAAAGAAAGGAAGGAAGGAAGAAAAAGGCCTCGTTAGACACTCGCAGTCGGGCG